GTCCGTGCTCTGAGGAGCTGCCTATGAGAAAACACCAAGAAGGTATGAAACCTTTGTGATAAGGAAACAACAGTATGGCACTTTTGCGATAAAATGATGACAACTGAGCTATACCAGTTTATATATGCACAAATGTTGATCTCTATCAGGGAATACAGTATTTCATTTCAGTGACACAAAGAAATTTAAAACAGCATTGCTGGGATAGCAGGACCATGATGGAGAAAAATATTCAAGTCGCAAAGCATAAGCACACCACTGTTCCAGCTAAACAATACAAATAAAATTGTGTATTAGCTGTAAGACATTGATATGACCACAATACTTTGTGTTTTTCCCACTGCACTACAGCAAAAGTATGAGTTTGGAATTGATTATGGTCAGAAGCATCAACTGATCTTTTCCATGGCTTTTACCATTATTCCCATTGCAACATCCCTTGAGATCCTTACACCCAGCCCAGGAGTCAGTGGTGCTATGCAAAACTGAAGGATAATCATTGTACAAAAGAGTTCAAGTGTTTCTGCACCTTGTAGTGGATAATACCTATCACATTTCTCCTCCAGCCTTTGAACACTGGGGAGTGGTTGAGTCACCATTGCTGCAGGTATTGAAAAAGATGTGCAGATGTGGCACCTGGGGACATGGTTCAGTGATGGACAGTGCTGGGGGGAAATGGTTGGACTCAGTGATCTTCAGGGTCTTTTTTAACCTAAATGATTCTGTGGTGCTGTGGCTAATCTAGGGAAAGAATCAGTGGATTTATAAGCTACAATAAGCACCACCATCACCACAGGCTGATCTGAAAGAACTCTGTACTCCATAAGATTCAACCACTAAATTACAATTAAATCAGCAAAGGAGAACCTATGGCAATATTAGGCAACACAGCAAGCTATTTATTTTCTTCCTGGCTCTACCTATTACAGGGAACACTAAAAGATTTTTATCTCCTTTAGGTTCAGGCTCAAAAGTATTATCAAATCATTAATTCAAAGAAAGATATCTGCAGCACATTTCCCAATTTACTAATTCAGGAATATATTTACAGTCTCCTCTATATCTGCAGATGAGGTGTCTTTCTAAATTTATAATGCATTCACTGAAAAGCTCTCATAAAAGCATAATTCCTGCTCCCATATCCTCCACTCAAACATTACTCACACAGAAACTTCCTGCATCAAGACAGAATATAGCCCTTCCCAGCCAACCCCCCCAGTCCAGCTGACACATCATTAGACCACAACTCAACATCATGCAGCACAAAAGCTTGTGCTCACTTTTAAGAAAAGACCAAGATAAAAGATTTCAGCTGAAAGGCATCATCAGCCTCATTTATTTGATGTTCACCCAGACAACTTTGTTTTCAAAGCTTTCTCCTTATAATACACATAGGCATAGCCATCATGTGGTAATAAAACAGGCCAAATGTCTTCTGTAAGATACTGCTAAGATTTTAATTACTTGTGTCCTCAAGCCTGTAAGTGATGCCTTCCCTATCTGCCTCAGAAACCTGGACTTCACCCTTGCTTCAATCGTAAATTCAAAAACTGTCAGAAGCCCTTCAAACTGCTTTTGAAAGATTTCTGTACAACACCATTTTTCTAGACATCACAGACAGTATCAAAAATATCACAGGCAACATAAAAATGATGGCTTGCAAACCACAGCAGAAAACCCACAGATCAATTACCTTGCTTCCAGGCAAAAAGCATTCATGTAAAACATAAAGAAACACCCACTCCAACATCAGCATATTTCTGTTGATTTTATGGAACGTGAGAATTCCTCTCCATCCACCATCACCCACCATGCACAAACCCAAGCTGAAAATGACCTGTCACTCTTTCTCAGCCCCTTGCAAAATGAGGTAGGTGTCAATTCCCTTCTAACATTGCAGAGGGGTATCAGCTACTTCTTCTCTCAGCAGTGTAATGGCATGTATCTAATTAACCTCAGAAAACTGTTTTCTGTTTCTATGACAGACTCAGAGATTAACTAGTGTGGCTACAGGCCTGTGCAGTTTTTACAACTACAGTTTGGTCTAATAAACTCAAAGGTGTGTTTCAGTGATGCCCCATCGTCATCATGCCTGTAATAATGACATGATAATGACATGCAAACACACCCTTTATAGGCTTTCTCACAGATGTCAGTGTGATGTACAGTAGGAAAACAGCCTACACTTTCATAAAGAGTAGTGTTTGCAGAGTGAAGAGCAGCTTGTTTTCTTTCCTTCTTTTGGCTGGTAAAATCATTTTGTGAACATAGCTAGCACAAAACCCATTGAAAGAGCCCAAAGATTAGTTTCTAAAGATCCTGTATGTACTATGTCTGTATAAATACCATTTCCTTACTGGGTTTATAATTACTTCACATTAGCATAATTATAACAATCCCACCATATGGTTTTGTCTTTTTCACATATTCACTAAATTATTATCTCCTGAAGATTTAATATCTTTAATGCTTCCATATCAAGAAAATAATTTTTGTTTCATGTAATTTTTAGCACAATCCATTGAAATCAAGTTCCTACTTTTTTCATAACCACATTTCCTGCTTCCTGTGCCTGCTTCTGTTCCATGACATAAATTGTTTTCCACTGACATTTTCCTGCTTATCTTGAAACCTGTTCATAGAACTGTATGGGAAAGGTTTCAGTATTCTGTGGCTTTGCCCTAGAAACCCCCCAACACCTTCCAGAGCCTGAAAAACATCAGGCCTCCCCTCCTAAAAGGAGTTGGCATTCAGCAGCCATGCTCCATCACTCCACAAAACCAAGTATCACTATGCACCAAAGCTGTCTCCAGTAGCTGGGCAGCCAGTTCTTCCACTCAATAAGAGGCAGTGTCCTTACCTACAGGTATCCTGAAGGAAAATCCAGAAACTGTCTGTGCTCTGAGAAGACTGAGCCTAAACCCCTCTGTGCCATTCTACTTGTGCCGCTCTTGGCAGAGGGAATAATCAGAAATCACTCATTAGGCCTCTACACTTCTAATTCTGGCAGCAAGGGACAGAATTGCATCCCACATCTGTGACACTTGAACAAGCCATCGAGAATAAACAGAGCCACTGGATCTGAAAGAAACCCATAACCTAGGTTTTCTCCACTATTTTCCTAGAGGGACTCCTCGTGGCTATTCTTTGCAAAGGAGCAAGACAAGCAGGGCAAATTACCTCCTTTATGCAGCAAAGCATGCTGTGCTGCCTAAATAGGCAGGTTTTCAGTATTTTTTTACCTTAGTTAGCTTTTTCTAGATGTAACTCTGTTTCCATCAAAATACTTCTAAACAGAGTAAGCTTCTACAATAGAAACTTATTCTAATCAAGTTTGCTGTGTAAGCTTATTGTCACTATAAGTTAAGGAAAAACTTACACAACTGAAGGTGTTTCTCATCAAGTATTGTTTTCTCTTAGCTAAACTACAAATATTTAGCTCCCAGTTGTCTTTTCATTAATTAATCACTTCACCATTGATTCTTCATGCTTTGCTGATGGATGGTTGATTGTTTTTCTGGTAAATTCTGCCTTACAACAGGCAGTTTGCCATGCAACACAAACTAAGAAAAAAATGCTCATTATCTTTCCATCTATCATGAAATACTTCTATATCTCAATCATCAAAAAGGCCTTTTATGGCTTCTCCCTGCTACTCACCATTTCACAGGATTTGTGTTAACTTTCACTTGAACTTGCTTGTTTTCTGATTTGATTTTCCTTCCTAAGAAATTTTTAAATTTTGCTGTCAACTCTTAGTATAAAAGTAACATTCACAGGATGCTTTTGATTTTATTTAGCTTAATTTCTCTATTTTTTGCTGCTCACAATTGTTCATTACAGCAATTCAGTTGCAGAGAGGTTCAACAAAACAACTGAAACAAATAGAGGATAGAAAGGAGGAAGAAAAACCATCTTTGCTTTCCATGGAATTGAACAAATAGTGCAAAATTATTTTCAGTAGGACTGAACCCAAAATATGCCTCTTTCCCAAAGCTGATTTAAAAGCAACCTTGAGTTCTTTTGTGTTTAAGATAAGGAATATGGTAATTGGTCATTTAGGTCAATCTTTGGACTTGCATGGTCTCAAAGTATACTAAATACTGTAAGTGATGGACTGAGACATAAGGATGTGTTGTCAGTGCTGTTACACTGACAATCATGGTGCCAATGCCAACAGTCCATCCAAAAAACATTTGCCACTGGATTAAAGGAACCTCTTGCTTTTTCACTGCCTCCACCTGTAAAGTAACACACATTACATCAAATTCTGAAAAAAAAAAAACAGTGACAGAGGTGACAGACAGAATTGAGACTTCACCTCTGAACAAGTTATAGATAAAAGATTGCTATAGCTACCCAAATGCCTCATAATTAAACAGGTGACACAGAGACATTTAAATACAAGCCACAGAAATTTAAAAGCCATGTCTAAAAATGCAGAGGCAAAAGCCACCCAGGACTCGACAACTTTTGAACACGATAAACTCAAATTGCATTGTTTAGGAGAGCTACTGAATTAATCTTTTGTTCACATTATTCACATCACTGAAACATCACTTTTAGGAAAAGGAAACATTAGCAGTTGCCTCAATTCGAAAGGCTTCCACCCTGAATATTTGAGAATGCTATGGGATGTGACAAGTTCCTGTATTGCTCTCAGTGACTTTTTCTGTACAAATACTAAAATTACGGGTTTTACTTGGGATATTATTTGCACTGCCTCTGGAAATAGTGCCTCAGTTGTCAATTATGATAAGATCTCTCTCCTGCTTTCTTGCTAGTTCCATTTTGCTGTGTGGAGAAACAAACCCAGTGCTATCACTCTCACCAGCCAGGGAATTTATTAGCAAACCACTGGGCTCCTTCTGCCTCAGGATGTCTGTTGCCTGACTGCTATTTATGCAATCTTAGACAAGGACTGTGGCTGGCAAACTGTGAGGAGATGCAAAATGCCAATTCTGTTTCAAGGCATCATAAGAGAAAGTGCTGATACTCACCAAACTATTCCCTGAGCCCCAGAGCCAATAGGTTTCAAGTTCTGGTAGCGTTTGAGGACTGTGAAGGTCGAGTCACCTACTTCCACGCTGTAGAACTGGTTGTCAACTTTGCTTTTGCTCATGTTGTAATGTTTGGCAATATACGACACATCCACTTGTTTCCCAAATCCCTGTCGTACAGAAGAAGGGAAGGGGAGAGGGGTTGGTAAAAACAGAGAAACCGAGGCTGATAAAGCATTAGAATAGTGATAAAGCACTGTCAGCCTAATTTTTCAATATAAATTCTTGTCATTTTTGGCTCATTTTTCATAAAGAATGTATCAAATCTTCTTTCATGCAGGAAGTCACCATAAAAAGGCACTGATTAAGGAAAACCAGTGAATTCTCCAGCTGATGTTTGTGACAGTTACTGCCAGCTACTGGTCTCTGCCTGCCATCCACTCCTGCCTCATGACTACTGGATTATGTGCTCCTGCTGATTCTGCCTCTTTTGTTTTGCAATTAATTTAAAATAAGGTGACTTTCATCAGTGTGGAAGTGGGACGAGAGACACAGGAATCAGGCTCTTCATTACGGATCAGACAAGAAAATGTATTCCCATGAGTGCTAAATCTTTCCCTGAGCAGGTGATAAAGGCCTTAAGAACCTTTCGACAGGGGTTGCAAAAGAAACAGAGCGGTTAATGAGACAAGCTGTGACCCAACATGGCTCAGTATCATGGAGATTTACTCAGAAGCTCCAGAGGTCTTCAAGAGTTCTGGGTTCCTAAGGATAGGAGGGAGAGTTGCTCTCATGACCTAAGAAATGCAGCAAACACCAATTTTCATGACACTTTTTCAAAACCAAGCACTGTAGCTAGGACTGCACAGTGGTGCTCCTCCCCAAAACTGTAAAATTAAAAACCAATAATTTTTACAAGACGTAGAAATCCCTCCCTCAAATTTGTAAAATTACCATGCAGCAAGTTACATTATAACCTCTTTATGGCTACTGCTGAGCTCAGCTCCCTACGGAGCAAATTTATAGTAATTTGAGATAAAAATCAGAATTAAGTGCTTGTAATTAAGGATTCTATAGTACATGATTCTGAGCACAGGAAGCAAAAGCTCAACATATTACAACAGATCTGCCCTAAAACAGTTGACTGTTCAGTTACGGAAGTCAAGACCTGCCCAAATGCCTTCCATAAAGCAAAACAAAAAAATAGCTATGCCTCTGTCTATGCTTTTTTTTTTTTCAGTGCTCCCAAACACAGCTTATAAATTTTCTTATTTGCTCTATTATAAATTTCTTTCCCCCAGAAAATTTGAATAATCAAAAGAATTATGTGTTTATGGAATGCTAAGTTGAAATTTGATTGAGCTGGGAAAAAAGTAAAGTTGCCTTTGATTACATTACTCGTTCAATTAAAAAGGACATCATTACAGTGTTCCAAAAATCTGACCATTAAACACAGATTGCTGACCTTGCAAAGAACTTCGATTTTAAGGGTTGCTTTGGAAAAATTATTATTATTTTTCTGTCCTTTATCTGCTGGAAGGCCCTTTGGCACTGGACAGCATCATCCTAACACCTCATTCAGAGACTTCAAAACATTTTAATAAATACAGCTCTTCATTCAAACACAAAGTCTCATCTCAGAAAACCAAGTGGTAACTTTACATTAACTTTGTTCATCAAACATTGTGAGGGGGACAGCAGGAGACACCTTGTCCTGGCAAAGAAAGGGAGACATTTATAGACACTGACACAGTGCTAAACTGAAGCTTCCAGAGAGTGAGATGATTGCAGAAGAGGTTTGAATTTTTCCCGTTGGAAGACAAACAGGCTGAATCTGATTCACACTGTGTAGCCTTAGTCTTAAAACGTCTTCCATTCTGTGAAGAGAGATGCATAAATTGGCTATTCAGCTCAGGTATTCATACCAGACCTGAAACTGGGAGGTTTTTTGAGTTTTTTAAATAACATGCTCCCGATTGACAGGAATTTCATAGCTCCCTCTGGCTAGACAAGCACATTTGGAGCGTGTTTTTCCTGATGTCATTGTCAGAACAATGCAGGACATATTCAGCATTAACACCCATTAGTCTGAAACCAATGTTTATGTATAAAGTGTCAGCACAAAAATTGCATTCCTGAGTGAGCCTGACTCATATCCAGCTCCTCTGGAAGTACAGACAGAGTGAATTTTTTTAACAAATTGGATGACTGTGTTAAGGCTTGGATGAGCCAAGCCTGCCACAACTTGTTTCTGTCCTCACTCCCAAGCTACCGACAGCTCCTTGTGTGGCATGGAGCTACATGGGAGCACATATTTTATCACTCTATGTCTAGAATAAAAATTACTTGCTTTTAAGTTAGCCTGACCATGTGAACTACTAGCCTCGGGAAACTCAAGCTGCGTACAGCGGGGTTTCTGAACTGCTGCTGGTTCTTTTAAATCCAGAAATGTCTTAAAAATCAATTAAAACAGCTGAGAAGAACCACTCTGTAGTACCTCAGTTATATGGGTAATTAACATATCCAATTGCTTCAGTCAACAGCAATTAAAGTTGTCGGCCCAGAAGACCACAACTGATAAGAAAATGCAAATGTCCTGATGAGCAGCTCTCCTCTGCACAACACAGACCACTCCTAGGACACTCTGCTCCTAAGAGCGTGTGAGAAGGAAAGCTAAAGACTGTTTTATTTTTCATGGAATCATTTTTTCTTTTTTAGTTTAGTATCTTTTTCCCTACTTAAAAATTTGTGTCCCATAAGGTCTTTGATAGAAAGCAAACACCAAGCATTACTTGTAAAATTCAAGGCAGGCTGATTTACTTTGAAGTTTACTTCAAGCAGAATGCCTCCTCTGAGTGACAAAAATTTCAGCTTTGTGGGCAGGCCAAGGTCGAAGTTGCCTCCTCGCTCTAAACCCTAAAAAACTAAAAAAACTGCTAAAAAAACTACAAAAAAGCCCCCTACTCTATATTTTCCAATTTTTACCAAAGCCTAAACAAGGAAAACAAAAGCATAGTAAGGTTACTACTAATGCCCAATGCACTGCTTACTTTCATAACAACAGGAGATGAATGATATAACTATCCTTGTCATGATGCTGACTTCAACCAAATCCCTAAGTCAATGAATTAACAGCATTATTGGATTAATCACATAGCCGAGCTGACACATAACCAAGAACCATCTCTGGTTGATTCAAGAGCCACTTCCTATCAAGGACAAGGAAATGGCAGTTTTGTTTCACTCCAAAATTAGGATAAAAAATCTTTTCCCTTTAGCAAGGAAATTCATACTCTTTACAGAGCATGTCAATGTTAGTTTCAAACCTTGATTAAAAAGCTCTTCTCCCAGTCTTCAAATTCACATATCTCATCTTAAAGAAGCATACACACTACATTTTGCTCTTCTCCTGTTACATTCTCAGTGCTCATTTAAACCCCTTCCAGTAGCCTTGGTGTTGTTACAGGTATTGATATTCCCCCAGATGCCCCTCTGTACACCACTAAGCTATTTCAGATTCAGGTTTCACTGCACAACGCTTACAAGTCCTGTACAGGCAGATTAAGTTAAAGCTTTGATTATGTAGCATCAGAAAGGAACCCAGGGCTAGGAATTTCCAGTACACACCCTTCTGCAGATGCACCTAACCATAAACTCCTTTCAAATGTGATTGAGGCTAACTTCATAAGAAACCAGGAATTAGTATTTCATTAAGAAATAGATGGGGGAAGGAAGTTTATAGATACACATTGCAATCAGGATATCACAGTAAAAATGTATAGGTCTCATATAGTAAAGTGAATTTCAATGAGTTAATACATTTTCAGGTGAACTTCAAATGAACTTGGGCAAGCTACGATGCTGAGGCCCCAGAAAAACAGTAAACATTGAAGCTGTGAAACTTCGAACAAAACACATTTAAGTTTCTCAGACCTCTCTGTAAGATGAAAGATTATTCCTCAGAGACAAAGTATGCATGGAAATGCCATTTGTTCTCAGTTTCCATAAACATTTGGACAATGAAATTACATTACTTCAACACTGAGAGGAACTTAGCTTTCATTTCATACGTACAAAAATGCATGAACCATTACTTTCTCCTTTCAGTACCTAATTGAAAACTTCTAATGCACACACACACATTCCCCAATGCCATTCTCTTTCCTCCATACTGAGAAATTTAAGAGTAAGAGAAGTGAAAGTTTCTCAGCCCTGAAAAACTAACTATCCTTGTTAGCTCACTTGAGCACGTAGCTATATTTGCAATGATGTTTGCTTAGTAACCTGACAAGTGAGAAAGAGAAAAGAAAATAAACTGTCAAGACTCAAGCATCTGAGATGAAGGAAAAAGATGCTCTCACCATTGCTAATTGCTTAGAGAGCCTGTATTTTGCTTTCAAAGGACAAGTATTTAAAAATTTAGTGAAGTAAAATAATTTACTGCCTCACACAGAGCTACAAACTATATTCTTTTCCTTTCTTTCAGAGTACAGAGAGCAAGAGTTAAAAAGCCCAACAGAAATAAAATTATGTTATTTTCTATATTGTAAGGTGAATTGCTTCCTGATATCCCATTTTATTTTTTTATTTATATCCTACAAAATAACTCTACTTATCATATTTTACTGACAGACCTTTGTTTCTGAACACCATTCCTTCTATTATTGAGGAGCCTAAAATACGGCAATGTCTTGCAGCTCAGCATTTCATACATTTCAGCCTTTAAAAATACAAACCACACTAGCAACAATTTAAGGCAAATTGCTCTACCTTGCATCTCCAAGACAGTGAGCACTGTCACAGATTCTGCTGGCAGCATCAGCAGAGGGGAAACTTTACCTCAGTGTCGTATCCTTCCCTGTCTGCCCACAGAAATCCCGGCAGGAACACCTGTTCAAGGGTGCCATGATGCAAGGCTACTGAAATAATTTAAAGCCCTCCACGTGTGTGTAAATACAAGTGAGTGAAAGAATCATGTGGAAGACTGAGAGGCTGACTCCCAGTTTGCAGAGATTGGTAGGATGAAGCAGAGAGGATGCTCTGAGCCAGACACCGTGATGGGTCCCAACAGCCCCACATCTGCACCCAGCCTCAGACAGAGCCTGGACCACAGCACATTCCAGAGGTGGATGCCTTTGGATCCCTCAGGATACAAAAGGATATCTTAAAGCTATAATTTAACCTTGAAAGTCAAATGCTGAGGTTGTACAGACCAACATTCATGAATTTTGTAAAACCCTCAGGCTTCTGGCCAGCTCCGCAAACGTGCACAGAGGCAAGCTCTGCTCACCTGGGTGCATCTGCTCAGCCAGCAGCACTATGAATTTTATGGCTGTCCTCCCACTTGCACAGCTCTAATTCTCACAGAAGTTTCAAGTGCCAGAATTCTGGCATGAACATGAAATTGCTGAGCCCTCTGCTTCGAATTTCATGGTCACAGGTTTTGTTGTGTAAATTTGAATGGCCACAGAAGCTATCACTTGGGAAATACAGTGTCTTTGCATAGAAAGATCTACTGTATTGTTTTAAATTGTGTATTCTATATATGACACATTTATGGCAGAAGTTTTATCTATTTTTTTCTCTCCACAAAGCCAGACTTCTCACTTCTTCTGGCTCTCCCTGAACTCAGAAGTTCATCAACAGTGATCCAGTCTCCTACGCAGAGTTTCATCTTGTGTGTGTGTGGTTAGATGTAATATTACCAATTTTGGTTTTACCAGCCACATCATACAACAGTTCTCCATTCTTCCACCTCATTCTCCTCCTGTAAGGCTTGTATTAGTCACCGAGTCTTCCTGATTTTAGTGTGTTTTGAGTGGGATTTAAAAGCTAATTTGAGTGGGATTTAAAAGGTAATTTCTGGCCTTCTTTTAATCTCTCTCCAGCTGCCTTGCCCCCCAGACAGAGGGTTTTCTGCACTTAGCCTTTCAAGTAGACAACAGACCCCTGCAAACAACTCAGCCTTGATTGATCAGTGATTGATCTTTTTACATTTGCTTTATTCACTCTATTTCAACACACCATATTAAACCATTTTATTAAATGTAGTACAATATTTCTAAGTGCTGGTTGGGTGGGGTTTTTTTCTGTTATGTTGGGTGCTTTTTAAATAGTTGTTGTTTTTTATTTATTTGTTTAAACACTCTGTTTAAACTCTTATTACTGAGATACTGAAAACCTATTAGTTTACCTAGTTCTGATTACACAAAAAGCATCAAGTCTGCCTTCTTCTTTTCCATTGTATCTACTCAAAACACAAAGCAAAGCACTATTTACTTATTCTTCTCCTGTCCCCACATGTTCACTGAGCTCTTGATACTTTTAATTCCTTCCTTCTTACAGGCACCAAATTTTCATAGCTCATTTGTAACTATGGTGTCATGTATTGCTCAGAAGTCACTGTGTCCCAGAGGTGTGACTTTCATTGCAAGGCCAGATTCCTACAGATGAGCAATCTGTGAGTATCTGCACAAGAAAACACTACTTCAAATGATTCCTCATCCCCCTGATGCCTGAAGAGCTCAATGCTGACACACAGGTGATATCCAGCCCTGGTCATCACACCAAAGGAGGTTGAAAGGACTGATCAAGAAACACTGAAAGGAAAGGTTCCTTGAGACTGAGGTTTTTGCATGGAGGGAAACTACATCAGTGATCCAAATGCAAAATGTAGCCAAAGATGCAGGAGAGAAAGTATATTTCTCAATAGAACTATATAATTACAGTACATGATGTGAAGACAATAGCTAATGAAAGGATTCTCCCTTTTACAAATAAAGACTGTATGGAGCTAAGTAATCACACCTTTAGCTAGAAATAGACAGCTCTTGACCCTATGAAGTATCATTTCAATCATAAAAATCTAATATATCAATTATTGATAACTTTTGAATACCAGCCAATCTCCCCTTGAATAGAAGGCATAATCACAGGACATACTACATTTAGAATTGTATTCCAAATAAAAGTACCCTGTATACCTACAGCTTAGGGAGCAGGCAAATTCTGACAGGCTACACATCTTCATACTGATTAAAAAAATACTGAAAGATTAAATGGACAAAAATGTGGATGAAGAAGTCAGTATTCTTTTGGAATTATTAGAGATATTGTTAGTATATTAGTATTAAAATTTAATGTCCTATCCCACTCATGATACACTACTCTGCATTACCTTGTGCTGCAATAAAAATGTATAGGGTCCTACAGATAAAAGCTTGTTTGTGATACCAGCCTTATAGAAGTCTAATGAAACTCTACAGGCCTTCTTGTCCCACTTTTGCATTATGATAGAAAAGCAGATGTCCTCTTCCTCAGCCTTAAAAAAGGTGTCTGTTTCAGAACATGAATTGGCTACCCATGTCCAGTAACTCCAGAGCTGGGTGTTTTCACACTGCAAACAGGGTGAAGGGATAGGGAGGTACATATTTGTCCTACTCATGCTACTAAGTGTTTCCCAGGAAGAGCCATTCTTTTTTTTTTCCTTAAGCTGGAAATCTTTAAAATTCTATTCCTGCTGAATTAGCATTTCATTGTACAAAACTAGTATGCTCACTGACATAAGCTCTATGTCAAAGATAAGAGCCTGTAATTATGTATATGTCACTTTCCTTCAGAGCACATAAAGCTATGCCTTTTAGGCCAGAAATATATATCAGGAAAAAAATACATCCCCCAGTACTAAAAATAATCAGGGTTCTCTTAAATTTTGGAGCTATAAGAAAGGCACTTCAGCACAAACACTTTGCAGAAAGTCTGCAGTGAGGCATACATTTCAAATGGAAGCAGGAATAAGAATAGAATAAACAATATTACCACCTGGACACTATTCCTAGTCTGTAAATAAAGATCTGGATGCTTGGACCAAGGACAGAGATATATGCCCCATCCCACTCTAAACAATACAAATGAACAGCATCCAAGACAGTCTTAATGCAACCAGACACTTAATTTAGAGACTGTTCTTGCACATAGTTAAAGCTGTTATTTGGATCAGGGCCTGTCTTTATGGGGAGAATAAATTAACATGAAGCTTAAACCAGTTTTCATCCTCAAGAGAATTGATCTGAAGGTCTGAAGACCTTGAAAAGGTGTCTGTGTGGCAAGTGCTTGAAGGATGGAATTCTGCTCCCTACAATGCCAGGATAGTATCTCTTTGTATGTATTCAGTGGATGATGCCATTCTGTGTACCTGCTGCAGCCATCAAATAGGAATTAATCTCACTCAGTGATAAAAATGCATCCAAAATGGTCTAAGTAAAAAGGAGAGGAGAGCTATGCAAAAAACCTCTATTCTGCACAGTGAAAGTACTTTTTTATCAATAACACTTTTCTCATACAATCTGAGAAAAAAAATTGCAATTTCTGCAATTTTTTTTTGGAAGCAAACTCTGTCAAAACACTACAAAAATACTACATTTGAAAAAGTTGCCAGTGGAAGAATTAAGCCAGTTACACACACATGAAGAACAAGCAATAATATAGAAAAGACAGTTAAGCAGATTATCAAACTGAATAGCCAAGACTCATCCCAGAGCTGATGATTCCTAAGTGCAGATTCAACCTTCTCAGCAGAATTAATATTTAATGTCCCTGAGTTAAAAAAACATAAAGCAAACTTTCTAACACTTGTCACTGTCTCATGTTAAATGCTTACACACAAGTAATAGCCATTTCCTTTTTTGCAATTGTGTTTTCACTTGGACTCCACTTGTAATACAGAATAACAAAAATAGTGTTTATCATAAATTAATTTCTAAGACTGCAGCATTGTTTTCAGCCTCAAAAAGTGAAGAATGTCCCTAATATCTCTCCAGTTAGTTAGATTACTGATATTCCATCTCACAAAAAGACCTTAAAACTACAAAGAGACAGAATTCAAGAACAAACACTGTTCAGAAGTGAGCAAAAAAGTCATCTTTCATTCACAAGGGAAAATTATGCACACAGATTTGAGACTAAATATGCTAACTAAATTAACCAAGAAAACAAAAAACTGGATAAATTAAAAAGCTTTTTCTTTGCATCAAAGATTTAGTTGCAGCTTTGTGGGCTCCCATACATTGTGACCAAACCATTTCAAGGGTGATGTAGAAATACAGAATTGGCTTCAGTGCAGCCTCATGGCTCCAAGACCTCAAAAGCACACAGTGTTCAATGGGAGACAAGGCAAAGACCACCATTTTAATTACATTTCCTTCACTTCCAGTATATGTAACAGAAAATTAGTCACAGGCTACAATGTAAAAGGCTCTGTCTCAGAAGAACAGAGACTAAGATTTTATACTTTTATATATATAAAACTATTTTATAGTTTTAATTTGCAGTTTTTCCATTTGTATACTGTGCCATTATTTTTCACTAAAAAACCTCAGAATATTAACTAAGAGTTTATCAAAACAAAATAAAAAATCATTAAGACCAAATTACACAATAAACTTGAGGACAGATAGAAAAGTAATTTTTTGAGATGCATTTCTCTGTTTTTTGTATTTATTCTCATTTTTATAATCAGTTACTTGCAGTAAGCTGCTGAAACTCATTTCTATTTTTCTCTAATTATAGCATGTATTGCAAAAATGAAGTACAAGTATATACTGTACCTTGTTTTACCTGTAAGGAACACACACCTGACAAAAGGCAATCTTCACATCCAGAGTAGGTTCACCACAATAATACAAGAAATGGCGGCTCATAAATACCTGCAATTAAAGAAAAGTAGACATAGAATTCTTGTCTGGCTGCTGATGTGCAAGTATAATGCAGCTCTAACTTCACTTGGATTATAAAACCAACCTGATTTGTTACCCAGCTTGTCAAAACCAGAAATGGTGTAACACTGAACTGTAAAAAAGCTTTGAATTCTGTCCAATGCCTGTCAAGGTTATGGCCCCAAATATGACTTGGTTACATCTGGAAAACTTTACAGTAACTGGTGCCATTAATTCAAAGTTTATCATGTCACTTACATATTCCTACACCAAAAACAACAAAATCAGATCAATAATGTTGTAAACAATGTGGGAATAGGAGACACTTATTATTATGGGGAGGAAAAAGACAAGTCCTAAGTTGACAAGTATTAGAAAGTTATAGAAATGGAAAGACTAGCTACATCACTGTGTAAGTTCATCCACTTTCTGAGCATCCCATGTTGTTCTGGTTCTGGTCTTAACATTTTACCACTAGAAAAGCTACAGTAAGAAGCAGTAAGAAGGGTCCAAAGCACAAAGAGAAACAACTGAACAGACTGGAGACTTTATTTTTTTTTTTTTTTTAGCCTAGAAAAGAACTATCTGAGCAGAAATATGCTGGAGATACATAAAATGAGTGGCATGCTGAAAAATGAAAACACCCTTCCATTTTTTTTTTTCAAATTAAAAAAAAAGGCATCAAGTTATGTTATCAGTGTTAGAATCAACAATAGGAAATGATTCTTCATACACATTTTCATCACAATGAAACTCTCTGTCTCATGTTGCTGTGGAAGCCAGAAGTCAGCATAAGCACTAATATGATTAGGCAAATTCACATAAGAAGAAATCTGCTGGAGGCTATTAACCTCGAAAATATCACCCCTGAGTCACAGTCTGCCACTCCATGCTCAGCCTATTTCTGGATTTCCCAGTCAGCTGATACTGGCCCAGGGAGCCATAGGCTAGACTAGCCAGGCCTCCCTGTGCACCCCATTACAGCTGTTTTAGTTTAGTTCCACAGCACCACATCCAGCTCTGCCGAACCAGTCCTGTCCTGGCTGCATTCTAGCGTGGCTCATCAGTGACAAACACCCACAGCAATGTTGTCAGGCTGGGAGAGGCAGCCACGTCACCAGACTTGGAAGCACATGGATTCTTCTGCATGACTCTAAAAAACCACAAAAACCCAGCCAAACACACAAAGCAACAACAAAAACCTGCTAACAGTACAATGAAAAAACTGGCAACTTTTAGCTACAATTAGATAGATTATATAGAACATAATGTTTTTCTGTTAAATATAAGCTCATTGTAAAGACTTAAAAATGAAAACAAAACAACCATCCAACCATCACTCCATAAAGACAAAGTTATGATTCTGAAACACCATATAGCTACTTATGGCACTTGTCTTCAGTAGGAACAACTAACTAACTTCAAGTATAAATGGCACTAAGTAAGATAAGATTCAATTTGGAGTAATTTCAACTCACACCAACTGATCAGGAGAAAAGAAACTACAAGAAAGTATTCACCAATACTTGCCAACTTCAATGCACCATGTGCTCCCAAGTGTTTAATTTTTAATGAATGAATATATGAATAATCCTGTTATGAAAGCAAGTTTATAACCTTTTCTGCATCATGTTACAGTGTCTGAGATTGCTGTCTCTCTGCCCACTGAGTCATTACAAGAGTCTCATATTCCACAGAGGGTTTATAATAGTTTATATTAAAACAAAAAAGAAAAAAGGAAGCTTTTTTTTCAAAAAGAAAAAAAAAAAGAAGGAAAAAAAAGCTTTTAACATTAGTCATATTGCCAATGATTTCTGGAAAGCCAGCAGGTAATTACACTGTCATGCTGCAGATATACTCACTGGCTGTATGCATTACTTTGCTATAATAATCAATGCGTGAAATGTCAATAGCTATGACATACCATGTACAGGACAGAGCTTAATGGTGGAAAGTGAGGAAAGGAAGGCAAGAAAATTGATCGAATTTGGTTTCTCCCTGAATTTGCTGTGAGGGTCTATTGAGAAGGTATACTTTGTATTATGCATGCATTACTAGTCCTCCCCTGCTCCTCAGCTGTCCACAGGAATTACTGTGACTGTTAGTAGTCACCCTGGGCAGAACAATAGACTGGTGAGTTTTATGAACTGGAATACATTTTAGAATTTATGATGTTGTCTTTGTGGGCAGTTAATGCTTATAAAATAATAGAAGTATGATATGTTTTAATGGCCTAGATCAATACTCACATTTCTCTGTACCTGAGATACAACAAATGAATCACTACGGAGCTGAGTTCCTCCAGCTATAGAACAGGAATGAATGCCACCTTTCCATGGCACAGAAAGGTGTACCCAGGAAAAAACAGACTTGAGCTCCTGTTTTAAAATGCTTATTGAATTCATACAAGGTTCCTTTCAGTGCCCTGTAAGTAATCACACGTGTATGTGGCTTCTAATTCCTTCAGGCAGAAAAGAGAGTCACACTCAGCTGCTCAGATCTCCTTGATCATGTCTTCTCTGGTGCGAGCTGACACCACATCACTGCAGACGTTTAAGAAGTGTCAGAATAAAGAACTGGCCTGATGCTGAGATAATTGTGTTACAACATAAAGCAGTTATAAAACAAGAAGCTACTGAGACAAACAGCATCACTCACCAGCAACTGGAGCTTTACATGAGAGCATAAGCATCCAATATTTCTTTACCCCACCACTGACATGTTAACTTTTCAAAATTGAGTGAAATCACCCAAGGGGCAAAGAACTGGGGGAACAGAACATTGCTGATAGAATAAAATACTCTGGGAAGCCAGAGACTGCTGTTGCATTACAGGGAGAAAACCTATCTCTGAAACAGCAAAGCCACAACTGGATCCCAAATCTTCATTATGATCAAGGCATCTGTATGCCAGAACCCACAAAAGCATACAAGACTCAGCAGCAAACATATGACATACTTTCACGTGAAACAAAACTAGGAGGCACTAAAATCAGGAAGAAGAAACCAGCCATGAAGGCAAGATAAAGAAAATCCTGAAAATCCTCTGAGATGTACAGTGGCACAGCCCCCAAGGGAGCTGTTGGCTGGATCCACTGAGGATTGGCCTCTACCTAGCCTGCTGCTTTGCCATCCTCTTCTTCACTCCACTCTTTCTTCCTTACGGAAAGGTGTTCTTCAAAACAGAACGTGGACTAAAGACATGCATTTTTCATGCAAATTTTTCATGCAAATTTCAGGCATGAACTTCTCTTTACCTGCAGTGCTCCTACAAAATCTTCCTTTTCTGTATAAGGACGTTTTACTTTTAATAATGGTTATCTGTCTCTCCAGGGGTCAGGAGGATTATCTAATTATTATTCAAACAGCTCTTTGAAGACTGAAAGGATTAAATCAATACTATTAGTATAATTACTGAGAGCAGAGAAAAAGCCATGAGAGCAGTTAAAACAGACCAGAAAACCAACAGTAGCTGCAGCTCTCAAATATAGCCTCCTGCAGTAAACCTTTCTGCTCAGCCTTGAATTCCTTCCTCACCCTCAGTGATGTATGATATTGGTACCTAGGGAAAGTCTGGGCAATTTGGCCCAGTCAGATTAAATCTTTTGGCCTAGGAATATTGTTTTCTACCCAAGCTGCCTTATCCTTCATATAATTGGCTCCTGGATCATGGATAGGGGGACTGTGTTTGCGTTAAGCCTAGGAGATGCAAACCTCCAGTGTGAGGGGTCTGGGCTATTGCTCTCCTGGCCCAAGGAGAGCCTAAGCACTTGCACCCACCATGCTGAGCTCCTTTATCTGGAAAAGCATCACAGTCACTTTATTCTGAGAAAATACCTTCATGATGGTTTATCATCCCTGCATCCCCTAATCAACAGGAAAGTCCCTCATGCCCAATGGACAGTGCCTTGGCCTGACACAGTATAATTAAAGCCTTTTGTGACAGTTCAGAAGGCCAATGCTGAGCCTCAGTAAAGTCCCATGTAACTTTTTATTCAGAGAGATAAAGGAGCCAGCTGCCCTGCTGCAATAGTGCTTCCTTCATTCCAGCCCAGGCAGGCAGGGCTGCTCATCTCACCCCACAGCACAACCATCTGTGGCAAACGCACTGACCCAGGGCTCAAACAAGACTCTTCATGAGGAAAAACTGCAGCAGCTGTTTGACCTGTGCTTAAACCAGTGCTGCTGTGCTTGAAATTAATATCCCAAACTGGCCCTCTAGCCCTGCTGCTCTTCTCATCACCTCCCATGCTCCTGAGACTGTACTTCGAGAGGTATATTCATGTTTACAACAAAACAAAATGGAAACAAATGCTTAAATTCCTAATTTTAATAGCCTCTCATGGAATAAAAAAAAAAAAATTAGAAATGCAAGTCCCAGTTGAAACAGTAATCAAATGGCAGCTGGAGATAAAGTAGAGAGAACTACTTGTATGTAAAACTTCACTAGATTTAAACATGGCATATTGTGGCTGCAAACTGGAAGGCTGTAAAAGAATCACAGGACATCCACCAATATCTATGCTAAGTCCCATCAATTGTGATAATCTCAATAATATGGGGAATCAATATATATTCATATCAAGTAATCAAATCCAGCATTTCTGTTAATTTGATATAACCACACAAATATATGGCATGTGCACAATGGGCACAGTGAATGTGCTCCCTATCTTCACCAACTTGCAGTTTTCTACTTGTTCTACAAAAGGAGAATTAAAGTATTTATTATTACCTCATTTAGTTTCATTCATGAACACCAAGATTCAGGGCATGAAAAAAAATACTAATTAAATAGCACCATCACTTAAAGCTATTTTAAAAACCCATCCTGTCCTAATTCAATGAGAAGGGGCAATTGATCAATTCAGTTGTCACTTAAAAACCTTTAAAAACACTAATGTTCAAAGGTTAACTTTCATGAATTATTAACGCTTCCTGTTTTGAAAATGTGCTTGAACAATTTCATGCATTTCCAGTACTGGAATTTCT